TTACATTGTGCAGTTTTGTGATGTAAATGATACTATTACAAGTTAACAATAATTGCTAATGTGACACCACATGCTGGTATATGTGTGGCCTAAGGAATAATGGATTGTATCAGTGTATCTGTCTGCTAGAGTGCCTCATTGCAGACTCAGGCATCCAAAACTAAGCTCATCATCATCCTGCCTCGCCAACTATTACCACCATCAAATCTCTCCCTGTATTGTGTCACCTAAAACAAATCTGGGAGCAAATTCCTGAGTCACCTTCCACATCCAAACAATTACCATGTTGTCAGTTTTTACCACCATTCCCTATGCTTCCCCTCCACTACTTGATTTGAATGTGTAAGGCCCTCATCCAGCTCTTACTTCATTTCTTTAAAGTTTCCTTTAAAATTTTTTTTAACTTTCATTTTTAACTTTAGGGGTACATGTGCGGTTTGTTATATAGGTAAACCCGTGTCATGGGGGTCTGCTGTACAGATTATTTCTTCACCCAGGTATTAAGCCTAGTACCCATTAGTTATTTTTCCTGATACTCTCCCTCCTCCCACCCTCCACCCTCCGATAGGCGGAGTCTGTTGATCTCCTCTATGTGTCTGTGTGTTGTCATCATTTAGTTCCTACTCAGAAAAAAGAACACGTGGTATTTGGTTCTCTGTTCCCGTGTTAGTTTTCTAAGGATAATGACCTCCAGCTCCATCTATGTCCCTGCAAAGGACACGATCTTGTTCTTTTTATGGCTGCATGTATATATGGACCACATTTTCTTTATCCAGTCTACCACTGATAAGCATTTAGGTTGATTCCATGTCTTTGCTATTGTGAATAGTGCTTCAGTGAACATGCGTACTTGTGTCTGCATGATAAAATGATTTCTGTCACTTTGGGTATATATGCCCAGTAAATGGATTGCTGGGTCAAATGGTAGTTCTGGGGTTGCAGAGAAAAAGCAATGCTTATACACTGTTGGTGGGAGTATAAATTTGACTTTTGAATAACAGCAGTTCTGACTGGTATGAGATGGTATCTCTGTGGTTCTGATTTTCGTTTCTCTAATGTTGAGTGATGCTGAGCATTTTTTTTCATATGCTTGTTGGCTGCATTATAATTTCTCATTGCTATGATTTGAATGTGTCTGCTCCAAAATTCAGGTGTTGACAATATGATAGCATTAGGAGGTGTTGCCTTTAAGAGGTGGTAAGACCATGTGGATTCTTCCCTCATGAATGAGATTAGGTGCCCATCCAGAGGGGCTCGATAAAGGGAATGTGCCCCTTTTTTCCTTTCTACCTTCTGGAGGACACGGTGTTCAAAGCACCATCTTGGAAGAGGAGAGCAGCCCTCACTAGATGCTAGCACCTTAAGGTTAAGAGTTTTTAATCCTCCAGAAATGTGAGGAATAAATTTCTGTTCTTTAAAAATTACCTAGTCTGTGGTGTTCCATTATAGCAGCACAAATAGACTACGATATTAATGTTTTGTGCCTCTCTAATCCACCTTTCACTTAGTAGCCAGAATGATCTTTCTAAAATTCAGACCTAAACCTGTCACTCACCTGCTTAAACTCTTCAATTTTTCTCCATTGCTTTCGGGATAAAATCCAAAATTCTTGGTGTGTCATGCTTCAGAGGTCTGACCTCTTGTCTACTTCCCCAAAATCAGTTCCTGTCGATTCTCAAAAGGTACCTTATGCTACAGCCAGTCCTAACTACTTACAGTCTCCAAAAGATTCATATGTTTTCACTCTTCTTGTCCTTTGGAAACTATTCCCTCTCATCATAAGACTCCATTTGCCCTTGCAATCTGTTTTATTTTCTACATGTTCTCACCTCAACCATTTTGTGATAAAATACAAATAACATAAAATTTACCATTTTAGCCATTTTCAAGTAGAATTTAGTGGCATTAATTACATTCACATGTTGTCTAAATATCACCACTGTCCATCTCCAGAAATTTTTTAATATCCCAAACTGAAATAGTGTAGTCAGTAAGCAATAACTCCTCATTACCTAACCTTATCCTCAGCCCCTGGAAACAACTCCCACATGTTCTTTTTAAGCCTCTCCTATAAACATCATCAGCTATCTGCCTCCCAAGCTGAGTTGAGGGTTTCTCTTCTCCACTGACATGGTAGTCTGTTGCAGTGTTGGCACTCTGCACTGTTCATGTTATTTTAAACCTCAATTTCCCTAAACTGTGAACTTCTTAAGGACAAGAACCATTGTCTCAATCTCTGTATATCTTTGGGTGACAATATCGTGTACCACATGTTTTACAAATGCAAGTCATCAAATCTGCTTATTGCTTTTGAATCACCTAGAAAGCCTTTAAAAACAGACTTCTAGAGAGTCTCACTCAAGTAAATCTGGGGAGGGAGTTAGGAATTTTGAATATTTTGGAATTATTATTTTGGAATAATTTTGAAAATTTTGAAATTTTGGAATACCTTCCAGGTAATTCTGATATGTGCAAGCAAGCCATCAAGATTTGGAAGTAAAATTGATCTAAAGGACTACACCCAAGTAAGATGGTCTTTTATTCTTGATGAATCATTAAAAAAGAAGCCAACTCATTTCTCTTGATTTTCATACTGAGCCTCTTGCTTTAGAGAATTACAATAAGGAACTCGGAATCGCTTAGCAATGATTTTTCTCAACCATTATCCTTGTACTAAGAGTTATAAAATAAAAATAGGTCATTTCCTTACTTTTTTTTGGTGGGGGACAGGGTCTTGCTCTGTTACCCAGGTTGAAGTGCAGTGGTGTGATCATAGCTCATTGCAACCTTGAACTCCTGGGCTTAAGGGATTTTCTTGCCTCAGCCTCCTGAGTAGTTGGGACTACAGGCCCGCACCACCTCGCCCGGGTAATTTTTGAAAAATTATTTTGTAGAGAAGGGTCTCACTTTGTTGCCCAGGCTGGTCTCAAATTCCTGGGCTAAAGTGATCCTCCCACCTCAGCCTCCCAAAGTGCTGGGATTACAGGAATGAGCCACCACACCTGGCCTTCATTTCTTTGTTGACTTACCAAAGTTCTTTTAAATTTTCCTCCGGCAATCCTATAAGGTAGACTATTAGATCCAATACGCTTTATTATCTTACCGTTTGTTTTGGCATTATTGCACTTACCAAAGCCCTGCCAACCTAGTCGTCCCAGGGCCACTTCAAGTCTGCTTATGCATACAGCAATAATATTTTCTCAAACATTTAAGTATCTGTTTGTCACTGTTAGGTACCAGAGGAAACAGCAGTGAACTAGTCAAAATCCTGCCTGCATGGAGCTTACATTTCTAGTTAGGAGCCTTCTCAGAGTGCCTCCAGTAAAAACATTTTCCCTAGCCTGTCCTGGTCTGACTCTCCTAATCAGGAATTCAAGGGTAACATTTGCCCCGGGCCACGCCATGTCTTTTCGACGATAATCAGCCGCTATGGCGCTTGTCTGGTATGCAGCTGTTGAGGCTGTACATTGGCTTCATGTTTACATCTGTTTTCCGTGACACTGCAGCTGAATGAGTTGGATGTCCTGTCTCCGGGAGGAGGGGACTTCTGTCTGTAGCTAGTTTATGTCCTCCCACCCTTCATGAGTGCTTTTCAGTGATTTTTACATCAAAATACGCCCAGTGGATAACCAGAAAACCTAGCCAAAAAAAAAAAAAAGACCCAGAAAAAACAATTTCGTACAAGTACGTTAAACAGTGTCAGAGCTGGAAGAGACCTTCGAGATGTAGCCTCACTGCCTTTTATAGATCAGAAAACAGAGACCCAGAGAGGTGACCTAAGTCGCCTCCGGTCACACAGCCCAACTGAAGGATGCGGACCCGTGATCACATCTCATTTACAATCGCACTGGCGGCGTTCCCCCTAACATTTAACGTCTAAATGAGATCCAGCCGCGTCACCGCTTCTACCCCACCGTCCTTCTAGTATTCATTCCACGCCGGTCTTTCTCCAAGAGTCAAGTCGTTAAAATACCAAGTGGAGGTATTCCACAAACAGGTGTCCAGACCACGGCCACGCGGACACGGAGTCGGGGAATCTGGATCCCCACATGCCAGCCGACAACTCTCCAGCTCCCGCTTACAAAGTTTCCTCGCATGGTACGTTCATCTTTCCGATGCCCAGCTGCGAGGCCGAGATGCTTTCTGTTGTGGCCTCCGACGAAGTTCGGAGATGCCCTTTCCTTGCGCAAGCCGGGCCGGGGCGCGTCGGCCGCGGGGCCCGGCGTCCTAGGGCCTGGCGGGCGGCGAGGGAGCGCCGGGCGCCGAGCGGGGCGGCCCCTAGGCGCGCGCTGCCCGCCCGAGCTGCGAGAGCCGCGGGCCCGCGAGCCCCAGCGCGGAGAGAGAGGCGCGCGCGGGCCGTGGGGGCTGGGCCGAGGCGGAGCGCGAGGCGGCGGCGGCGGCGGCGGCGGGAGGCGCCGCGGGACTAGGCAGCGGCCCCCGCCCCCCGAAGCCCGTCCCCGCGCGGGGCTGGGGAGCTCAGGGCGGGGAAGCCGCGGGGCCGCGCCACGTCCCTCGCCCGCCCCAGAGCGGGTTTTGCAGGCGGCTCCAGTCTGGGGGCTTTTGTGTCTGCGACTCGAGAGCGGCGAGAGAGCAGACCTCCTCCTCAGAGGGCGCTGTGAGTGCGCCGCCAGGGCCGGGCCGCCCGCCTCCTGCCTCCCCTGTCGGCGGCTCCCGAGGCGGCGGCGGCGAAGAAGAAGGGGTGGGAGGCGGCGGCGGCGGCGCACTCGCCCTCAGCACATGCCGGCCCCGGGCGGGGGGCCGCCCCCAGGCCGCGCTCCCGGCCGCCGCCGCTGAGCCCCGCCGGTGCCCGCACGCCGCCCCGCAGCCTCGAGGCCTCGTCCTCCTCCCAAACTTTGCAAAGTCGGCCCGCGTCCCCGCCGCCCTCGGCCGTGCCTGGGCTCCGAGGCTCGCCTCGCAGCCGCAGCGGCCCCGCGAGGAGGAGGAGCCGCCGCCGCAGCATCAAAGAGACCGAATTCCCGCGGCCTGGGGGGGAGTCATGCTTCGCGGTCTGTAATGTCAGCAGAACAGGAGAAGGATCCCATTTCGCTGAAGAGAGTTCGAGGTAACCGAGCAGGGCGCCGGATTGGGGGGACCGGGGTGAATGAGGTACGCGGGGCCCCGTGCCCGGCCGCCGGGAGGCCATGGGGCTCTGTCCGGGCCTAACTCCGCGCAGCCCGCGTCCCGCCCGCGCCCCGGGGCCGAGGCTGAGATCCGAGCGCGCGGCCCGGGCGCCCGCTGGCCCCCTAGACACCCGCGCGGATCCCTCGCCTCCCGACTTTGTGTTCGGAGGCAGTTGGAGCCGCACACAGCATCCCTTCTTACCCCCTCCTCGCCCACCTCTCCTCGCTCTCGAGACACAGCACAATAGGCACCTCAAAGGGTGAAAAACAGGCACCCCCTAGCAGAGACCTCGAGCGATGCCCACCCCCTCCGAAAAGTAAGTTGGACTGCACCAGAGTTGATGCTCTTGAAGAAGGGCGCCTGGGCTTTCACGTCTCTCCTGGCCCCCTTCTCACCCCCCGGCAAGGGCAACAGATACTCAGTTTATTTTCCTTAGGTTTAAGAGGAGAAACTGTACAAATTCAAAAGGCATTTTCTCTGTTGGTTTATGGATAAGAAGTCATCTAAAATCAGTGTTACGCATGATTGGTTTTCTTCTTTCTTGCATACTGGTTAGGAATTTTCCTGTCGTCTTACTACTCTCTAAGAAAAATCAGAGGGAACCATGTGTCAAACAAAAGATAATGCATATAAGTTCACAAAAGTCAGATGCCACCCGGAAATTGGGGGACATCTTGTAGCTCTTAATAGAGTTAAGACTGAAAGTCCTAGAGTTGAAGTAATGCTCATTGTTCATTACGCAAATATTTATTAAGCATCTACTATGTGCTAGACACTGTTCTCGGTACTGGGATACAGCAGTGAAAAAGAGCAGATAGACGATCTTCACCCAGAAGGAGTTCACTCTCTTGTGGGGTAAACAGATGTTAAACAGTAGATACCGAATGTCAAATCGTAGGTGGTGTGGTGGACAAGAAAATAGGAAAAGAGGAGAGGAAATATGCGTGGGGGCGGGAGGTATGGATTGTATGGTGATGATGAAAGGGTTCACCTGGAAGATGATGTTTTAGCAAAGACCCAAAGGAAATGATAGAGCAGGGCCAGATGGATTCACGTGGGAAGAGCAAAAGCAACAGTAAATGCGAAGGCCCTGTGTCTGGAATATGCCCAGTGTATGCAATCAACAGCAAAGAAGCTCTTGTAACTGCAGCAAAGCGATCAAGGGAAGAGTCCTGTGACCGGAGCTGAGGGATGGGATGATTGTGTTATTAGAGGCCTGGTGTGCCATTTAAAACACTTTGGCTTTTACTGTGAGAAAAGGTCTGCAGAGTTTTGTCTGTAAGAGTGAATGATCTGATATTTTAAACGGTATCTTTGGCTGCTGTGCGGAGAATAGACTGTAGAGAAAAGGCGAAAACAGAGGAGACTAGTAAGGAAGCTATTGCGAACAGGTAAACGGGGTAAAATCAGTAAGTAGTAAAGTAAATTTCCGGCTTACTTAAGTGATGCAGAGATGAAGGACCACAAGGCATTCATTTTTGTTTTTGTTCAGTGTGACTACAAATTAAGCATGTATAGAACTGGCCTGTGACACACAATCCAAAAGATAACCACTCAAGAGTATTTTGGTAGAAAATGATTTTCTTAGTCATTGAAGCAAAAACATAATTTAGAGCAGAATATCGTCTTTACAGGCTCAATATCAGCACAGCCTTTCATTTGGTGAAATATTTTAATTGTCTTTTCTGTTTGTGGTTGTGGGTTGGCAAAGCCTTTAAGGAATACTTCCTGAGATACAACTATTCCCCTGATATTTTTGCTGTATAATTTTGCCTACTATTATAAATTGTTATGAGGTTGAAGGAAAAGAAAAAGCTATCAAGTTTATACCTTTGAACTGAATTATCAGTCCTAATCAAATGTTATTCTAAATAAAATAGATGAGTGTTTTATTGTGGATCAGGAGCACAGCTCTATCTTCATTTTGTTTCAACTGCTGCTTTTAAGTTCTATGCGTAGCTATTCGGGTTGGCTCAGGTGTCAGCTCAGTAATATCCTGAGAGTTAAGTACCAGAGTAAAAGACAAAACACTTTTTAAAATAAGTCAATATTTTTACGTCATGGAGAGGATTTTCATAATGCCGTTTTGTAATAATTAGAAAATTAATTTAAAAAACTATTTTTGGATTATTTTATAGTGTGCTCTTCTGAAGCACAATTCTGCCCAACCTCATTGCCTTGGAACTTTTTGTTATTCAATGTAATTTATGTCATGAAACTGCATGCAGGATGTGGTGCTTGCAGGGCATAAACTTCGGAGCAGTGCTTTTCAAACTGTTTCCCATCCACTGATGTAACAGAGACAGATCCTTTTAATGGTTGTGTATTATTTCCTATGTATTAAAACAAAAAAGTCATCTAATACCTTGCTTATGATAAGGCTAAGATACATATTTCTGTGTATATATTTACACATATAGCAATTTAAATGAATTAACACACATAGCAATTAAATGAATTACTAAGAAAATAATATTATAGGTGGACCTCAGATATGGTAAAATTATAACATGAATGAGTTAGGACTTTACAGTAGTATGCTCTACAGACCAAAAGCATCATAATCACTTGTGATGCTTCTTAAAATACAGATTTGTGTATCTTTGGAATCAGGACTTCTGGGATCCGCAGAATCAGACTTCTGCATCTTTAACAAGATCCCCAGGTGCTTCTTATGCATACCAAAGTTTGAGTACTGCTACTAATGGACCTAAATTACAAAGGTGAGTAGTAGACCAGAAGCAGCTGGCTGTAGACTTCCAAATTGTCCCTATATTTGAACGTTAGATTTAGAATTACTCTTAAGTGACATAGTATCTTACTCCTATTTTCTACCAGTTCTTAACACTTCACCCCAAACCTTCACCTTTTGATTATAAGACAGATCTGTGAGGACAGGCACTATGTCTTGATTATCTTATTTGGCTTGCTCATAGTAAATGTCGAATGAATGAATGAGTGAATACATGAATTACACTGTTTTTTGATAGTCTGTTGCCTGCCATACTACTTTTACTTGCCATTTTCCACTAAAATGTCAACCGTCATCCTTATTTTAACCAACATTCTCATTCTCCAGTATTCCTAGAACTCTTTTAGGCATTGATCTGATGGCAATATTCATTTATTCAATAAATATTTATTAAGCAGTCACAGTGCCGTGTAGTGGGATTACACTGATTAAGTTATGACTGTGGCTGGGTATCGTGGCTTATGCTTGTAATCCCAGCACGTTGGAAGACTGAGGCAGGTGGATTACTTGAGTCCAGGAGTTCAAGACCAGCCTGGGCAACAACCGGTCTCTACTAAAACTACAAAAAATTAGCTGGACATGGTGGCATGTGCCCATGGTCTTAGCTACTTGGGAGGCTGAGGTGGGAGCATCACCTGAGCCCAGGGAGATTGAGACTACAGTGAGCTGAGATCACACCACTGCACTCCTGCCTGGGCAACTAGAATGATACACTATCTCAGCAACAACAGCAAAAAAGGATATGATACCTATCTTCAAGAAATTGTTAAGTCTAGTACAGGACAATGACAAATAAATGGCTACAAATAGCATGATAAGGGTTGTGATTATTTATAGGAAATAAAGGAACTTACCTTTGCAAGAATTAAGGAAGTCCTCCTGGAGAAGAGTTCTAAGAAGCAATGAGTGTTCTTCTGTCTTAAGTGATATACAAAGAGCTGCAGAGGAGATAAAATGTGAGAAAGGGTCTAGAAGGTCTCTTGGGATTTTGAGAAGGCAGTTTTAGGAGGAAACCACATTTCAAAGTGTCGAAGATTAACGTGGGGCCAGGTGTGGTGGCTCGTGACTTTAATCCCAGCACTTTGGGAAGCTGAGGAGAGAGGATCTCTTGGGCCCAGGAGTTTGAGACGAGCCTGGGCAACTTATGGAGAACCCATCTATACAAAAAAATTTAAAAATTAGTGGTGGTGGGCACCTGTAGTCCAAGCAGCTCAGGAGGCTGAGGTAATGTGGTAAAAGATTAAATGATGAAGATGTGACTTAAAAGAAGTTTGGTGGTAGACAGAAAGACATAGGAGAAAATACGAGTCTTTTTTTTCTTCATTGGAAAAAGACTTAAACATATTTGTAGATTTACAGAAGAGCCCAATGTAGAAGGAGAGGGGAAAAACTGGAAAGGCATGAGAAAGAGAGGATAATTCATGAATTACTAAAGCATTCAATACATGTTTTAAAAATATCTGCCATGTGCTATACACTCATTATTCCAGTAGCTGGGGGATGAGACAGACAAGGTTCCTATTCTCATAAATCATGTCTTTGCAGATAAGGGAACAGGATTAGCATCAAGTATACACATGGAGGTTTAGACTTGGGGAAAAAAAGAGACAATGGAGAAAGAAAGAAATTTAGAGAAGGAAGTTGAGGTCATTTATTTAAGTGCTTTTAATCGGTTAGAAATAACATAGAAGGGATAAGGATGTATTTTAGAATGGAATGATAACAGAAATATGAAAGTTACTAAAAATGGACTTTACAAAAAAATGCAGACTGTCTTGATGGGATGCCTCTATGGAGGATTTGGATTAAGGTTGGAAAAGGAGCGTAATTTATGCAGTCACAAATTGGGGATTGGGGAAGAGGCTGTGAGAGAAAGTCTGAAGGAAAAGTTTTTTGTTTTTGTTTTTAAAATTGGTCCATGTAAGAGCTAGGCAGATTATCAGGAAAGTGAGTTTGGTTTTAGACTCATTGAATGAATGTCCTCCTGGGATATTCCAGTGTATGAAGTAGATGTACATGGTTTGGAACTGGGCTGAGTAGTCCAAGACAGAAGTAGAGATTTGAAAGCCGTCAGTAAACAGTTGAATACAAATTAATGCCTTGGGAGTAGATGAGCTCTCCCAAGAGAGAGTGACAAGTACAAAGAGAAAAGCCTTGAAAACACCAACTTTGGAAACACTAACATTTCA